AAACACCCAAAAAACAGCCCGGAAAATATACTAAAAACAGCCCGGAAACGGCCAAAAACCAGCCAAAAAACAGCCCGGAAAATACCCAAAACCAGCCTGAAAAACCAAAAAACAGCCCGGAAAATACACAAAAAACAGCCCGGAAACGGCCAAAAACCAGCCAAAAAACAGCCCGGAAAAAAAAAAAAAAAAAAAAAAAAAAAAAAAAAAAAACCAGCCAAAAAAACCAAAAAACAACCCAAAAAAACCAAAAAACAGCCAAAAAAACCAAAAACAGCCGGAAAAACCAAAAAACAGCATGAAAAAAAAAACAGCAAAAAACCCCAAAAAACAGCCCGAAAAAACAAAAAACAGCCCGAAAAAACAGCACGAAACAGGCTGAAAAAACGAAAAACAGCCGGAAAAACAAAAAACAGCATGAAAAACAAAAAACAGCCAAAAAAACTAAAAACCAGCCCAAAAAACAAAAAACAGACCGAAAACGGCCGAAAAACAGCCAAAAAACAGCCCGGAAAATACCCAAAACCAGCCTGAAAACACCCAAAAAACAGCCTGGAAAATACACAAAAAACAGCCCGAAAACGGCCAAAAAACAGCTAAAAAACAGCCCGGAACAGGCTGAAAAAACAAAAAACAGCCCGAAAAACAGCCCAAAACAGGCCAAAAATTGCCCAGAAAAATCAAAATATCAGCCCGAAAAACAAAAAACAGCCAGAAAAAACAAAAAACAGCCAGAAAAACAAAAAACAGCCTGAAAAAAACAAAAAACAGCCGGAAAAACAAAAAACAGCATGAAAAAACAAAAAAACAGCCGGAAAAACAAAAAACAGCATGAAGAAACAAAAAACAGCCCGAAAAACAAAAAACAGCCCAAAAAACAGCCCGAAACAGGCCAAAAAATGCCCAGAGAAATTAAAAAAACAGCCTGAAAAACAGCCCAGAAAAACAGCCTGAAAAACAGCCCAAAACAGGCTGAAAAAACAAAAAAAACAGCCCGAAAAACAGCCCAAAACAGGCCAAAAAACAGCCCAAAACAGGCCGAAAAAACCAAAAAACAGCCCGAAAAAGAGCCCCAAAACAGCCCGGAGAAACAAAAAAAAAACCAGCCCAAAAAACAGCCCAAAACAGGCTGAAAAATGCCTGGAGAAACCAAAACAACAGCCCGAAAAACAGTCTGAAAAACAGCCCGAAAAACCCAAAAAAACAGCCCGAAAAACAAAAAAAACAGCCCGAAAAACAGCCCAAAACAGGCCGAAAAATGCCCAAAAACCAAAAAAAAACCAGCCTGAAAACAGCCCAAAACAGCCCCAAAAATGCCCAAAAAATATCCCGGAAAAAAAAACCCTAAAAAACCCCAAAACAACCCCAAAAACAGCCCTGAAAAACCCCAGGAGCCTCCCTGCTGTTTTGGGGCATTTTTGGGCATTTTTGGGGTATTTTGGCTGTTATTTTGGCATATTTTGGCTGTTATTTTGACTGTTACTTTGGCTGTAATTTTTGGGTATTTTGGCTGGTTTTTTGGATATTTTTGGGGTGTTTTCAGCGGGTTTTGGGGGTTATTTTTGGGGTGTTTTGGGGAGGTTTTTGGGGTGTTTTCAGCGGGTTTTGGGGGTTATTTTAGTGCTATTTTGGGGAGCGTTTTTGGGGTGTTTTCAGCGGGTTTTGGGGCATTTTGGGGAGCATTTTTGGGGTGTTTTCAGCGGGTTTTGGGGGTTATTTTTGGGGTATTTTGGGGAGCGTTTTTGGGGTGTTTTCAGTGGGTTTTGGGGGTTATTTTTGGGGTATTTTGGGGAACATTTTTGGGGTGTTTTCAGCGGGTTTTGTGCTGTTTTGGGGAGCGTTTCTGGGGTGTTTTCAGCGGGTTTTGGGGTGTTTTGGGGAGCGTTTTTGGGGTGTTTTCAGCGGGTTTTGGGGCGTTTTGAAGGGATTTTTCAGGGTATTTTGGGGGTTATTTTGGGGTTTATTTTGTGCTATTTTGGGGAGCGTTTTTGGGGTGTTTTCAGCGGGTTTTGGGGCGTTTTGGGGAGGTTTTTGGGGTGTTTTCAGCGGGTTTTGGGGCGTTTGGGCCGTCCCAGGTGGAGTACGACGGGCTGACGGGGCGCGTGGAGTTCAACAGCAAAGGGCAGAGAACCAACTACAGCCTGCGGGTGCTGGAGAAGGGCCGGGACGGGCACCGCGAGGTGACCCCCGCGTGACCCCTGAGTGACCAATGAGTGACCCCTGGGTGACCAATGAGTGACCAATGAGTGACCCTGAGTGACCAATGAGTGACCCCTGAGTGACCCCTGAGTGACCAATGAGTGACCAATGAGTGACCCCTGGGTGACCAATGAGTGACCTTGAGTGACCAATGAGTGACCCCTGAGTGACCAATGAGTGACCAATGACTGACCAATGACTGACCAATGAGTGACCCTGAGTGACCGTGAGTGACCCTGAGTGACCAGTGAGTGACCCCGAGTGACCAATGAGTGACCCTGAGTGACCCCGAGTGACCCCTGAGTGACCCTGAGTGACCCTGAGTGACCCTGAGTGACTGTGACTGACCCCGAGTGACCCCCGAGTGACCCCGAGTGACCCCTGAGTGACCCTGAGTGACCCCTGGGTGACCAAGGGATAACCCTGAGTGACCCCTGAGTGACCAATGAGTGACCCTGAGTGACCCTGAGTGACCCCTCAGTGACCCCTGGGGGACCCCTGAGTGACCAATGAGTGACCCCGAGTGACCCCTGAGTGACCCCGAGTGACCTTGAGTGACCCCCAATGGCCACACCTGGTGTGGCCCCGCCCCTGACCACTGACCACGCCCCGGGCCCCGCCCCTGACCACTGACCCCGCCCAGGTGGGGGTCTGGTTCTCCAACCGGACGCTGGCCATGGACGAGGCCACGCTGGCCCTGAACGCCTCGGACAGCCTGGCCAACAAAACCCTGATCATCACCACCATACTGGTCAGACTGGGAGCACTGGGCGGCACCGGGACGGGGCGGGGGGGACTGGGAGGGGGTT